AGAGAGAGAGAAGGAAAGAGGGATTATTATTAAATCAAGTTACCTATCTTATCCTTGATAGACTCAAGTGCACAATAAAGAGGGATGACACCTAAATTAACTTAGGTCTGTTGAGTAAGCACACTATATTTGTAGGCCTAATGTAACAAGTAGCATAATTCAATTTTGGTTGCTATTAGTTTCATCCAAGAGAACGAGAGAAGGTTGATAGAGGATGGAAACCTTGAACCAGAGAAAGTGTTGTCTGACAAGTTCCTTTAGCTTTTTTTTTTTTTCTTAAATGTTATTTTGTTAGTCATGAGTGTTCAAAAACAAAAAACGTAAAGCATATTTATGTTCTAAGCTTATAATAGAGAGTTCATAAACCTATAGTAGAAATTTAGGGTCATTATTATATGGAACCAAGGCAAGCTAAAGAATTTTTAAGTTTGAGTTTGCCTTTTTAACTGGGGAAAAGAGCATAATAGAATTCTATTTATGTTTGTGCTTTTATTGCAGTTCATTTTAGCTAATTTTTGTTTGTAATTGATGGATGTAACTGTTAGTGCTTTCTAGCAATTGAAGTCATGGCTTAATTGGAAAATTCATTTTCAAACTTATAGATTGGCCAAAAAAAATTTCCCAAACTAATGTCTATGAGTCTCCTAATCATAATTTTCTACCATATCTGACAGTTTCATTTTTCATTTTATTTCTAAATACAAACCCTACAATTGTTTCAGGAATAAGGGATAGATAGACTCAAAGACCCAAAAAAAAGGGATAGATAGACTAGAAGGGGAGGAGCAACTATAGGAGAAACAATTGAACAACATAATGAGGCATGATAATAGATGTTTTAATAACAATGACAACTTTTGATGAGTATTGTCTGAATACACTTTCATATTTAAAGAGTTTTATATCAAATGTTTACAACGGAAAGTGAAAACACGACAATAGAAACTCTATGCAATGGGAACTGCAACAAAGGGAGTTGACTAATAAATTTTAATAAATAATTAATAGAGTCTTTTTTTTCCTTTTACATTTTTTTGCTTTTCTGAGAGAGAAAAGGGGGAGGTTGAGGAATAATATTCAGATTTGATCTAGTTGCCTCATGTAAATAGCCATGAATACTCGCATAGTTTTATATGTTTTTATAATATATTATAATAATTATATGAGAAATAAAAATAAAAATAAAAATAATTTTAATATTGTATATTAAATAAGTTTGTATTTTTAATTGCTAGTATTAAAACTTGATTCAAATAAATTGTTAACTTTTTATTTTAAATTTTAATTCTCAGTAATTACAAATTTATAAAAATAAAAATAAAAAATAAAAAACCACAATCATATACTGTCTTAGATGTTAGTTCCTGACTAGGATAAATCATTTTTCTTTGGTAGGGCTAGGATTCGTGCTGAGTTCTGTTCAACCAAACATCATCGCCCATTTAACAATGGGCTAAAACCCAACATCAGACTCTATCAATGAGAACCGAGAATAGTTTTTCTAATATGGCAAAGGCCTAAGCCGTGCTTAATAAATTGGGCCTTGGTCTTTGATTTACACCCAAAAATATCTTAGTGTTGGGTTAAATATTCTAGTTGATATAAAAACAAAGACCAACTTTAATATTGATTTTCGTGTAGCTTAATACTCCGTCATTCACTAATAGTAGGTCTGGTGGCCCAAACAAAAATAATGGTAGGTGAAATTTCTCTTTTGATTTTTAAAACAAAAAATTTAAATAAAAATTTGACATAACAAATGAATGCTAATTGAAAAGCCTTTATATATATATATATATATAGTTTTTGTTCAATAGTTTCACTCAATCAAAAAAATTTCAATTGAAATTCATCTATTGTATTAAATTTTTACTAAAAATTTATGTTTTAAAAGTCAAAAAG